CATATTGTGCACGCGTTCGCCTTGAATAATAAAATTTGCGCAAAAAGAGATCTCTGGCCGGACGTGACTCACGCGCCCGCTTTTTTCTTTCCGGATAAAAAGCGCCGACTCGACGCTGCAGATATCACGCGAACAATTCCACGCACTATCAGATGCAACGTTGTTGCGATCTTGCGTTTTTCAGAAAGTGGATTCCACCTATCTTTCAAGTTCTATGTGACTTAAATGTGATTCGTACGACGATACGAGTCACCGTCATTAGAAAACATCTGAATTCAGAGATTCGCGATTTCTTCGATAAATTTGCAGTCGATTTCTCCTCCTTAAAATTTATCGACTAAATGTTATTCATAATTTTTACAATTAAATTATCTCAACGAGTGAGACCGAAATTAGATTAAAGTGCAATCTAAACAGAGAAAATGAAGACTCGTTCTTTTCAGCGCCACTTTCTACACTTTCTTGCACCTTCTCTGTCCCCTTTCTCCATTTAAGCATCGAATTATTATTACTATTATTATTATTGCGATAAAGTATACACATTCGATATGCATTCATTTCGTTTGAAACGTAAGAAGCGTGTAAGAAAGAGCAGATGAAGAAATCTCGTTATGTATTCAAACATTCTCGAAACTTCAGTTAGCCAGGACCTTTAATTTGCAATGTTAAGTGTCCTCTTGAGAGGAATAATGCGCCGTCATTGCGCCAACTTCTCACGAAAGTAATAACGCACGCAGTATACAGGACGGAAAACACAAGCCGAAGAAATCTGCAAGACGCAGGGACAGTTCTGTGCAAAGGAAGCGTGCACTTGAAGCGATATATTTGCAAGGAGCGGTATTTCGTCGACCTATTTTCCGTCATAATTATAATCCTCATTAAAATCAGTTGTGCATTCCTGTCATTTCGAAAGAGAAAGAAACACGCAAAAATAATGCAAGATCCAGGCTCGCTTTATTGTAATATTTTGCACGATTCTATGAACAAAATATAATTTCGAACTACAAGATAATTAACTGGGACAATTGTTACGCACAAAAATTTTCTCGCACAGATATTTGCTTGGAGTGGCAGAGTTGGCTTCCTGAAAGTCTCTTGAATTTTTGAAATGGCAGTTTATAACTCGAAGTTTATACGGCAATTCTACATTTACTCGCAAACTCGAAATTAACTATCAGAGAAATGTTCATGCCAAAGAAATTTAATTTCCGCACTTATCCACCTGTATATATACTTACTCCGTTAAAACTTACTTCGCTACGTCGCATATATTTATTTCATTCAGCTATATCTCGAGAAATAAAGAATCGGGCAATTGCTATATCAAGAACTGTATCTCTTTAATTAACTGAACACTTTCGGAGAAGCGCCCGAGTTTGCGGGTTAAACGCACAAGGAGGTTACGCGCTCGCTACGCTCCTTTGTTGCATACGGCGCGTATAATCGCGCACGATGATACGCGGCGATGCAACGCAACGGTACAACCCAGCGGTAGGTGCACGAAACGACCATGAAACGCAAAAGGGAAAGAAACGATCCTGCGCTCTCTCGCCCATCGTGGTGTTCTCGCGAGAGATCCACGGAAAAGCAGCTCGAAAGCGAGCTTGCTTAAATCGGCAAAGATGAAGCGAAGAACGGCGAAAGGGGAGGGAGACGCAGCTATTACTTCTGATACAACACACAGAATGTGACTAATAAATTCTGTTATTATTGTCGGCTCATTCGCGCCTTCGAACGACGCGCGGATACGAGTTACGAGCAAATATTTGCCTCCCAAGTCCTCCGCGACGTTTCGCGTGTTATGACATGGATCGAACGCTGCACCCCGAGGATTTTAACACTAAAATCCTGATATACGAAGGATCTCGCGAAGCATGATCGGCGGCAATAAAATTACAAATCTCACAAATTTTAGTTCGTAAATTGTATCCCTCGCTTCACGCGTATTCCTCATTTTCTTTGAACCTAAAAATTTTAACAAAAGATGTTTCACAGAAAATATTGCGATAAAAATGTTATCAATTCTCACTTCAAGAGCTATTTAGCTTTTCCTGGAAAAGAATATTATATAACATTGATTATATAAAAGACATTAATTATATATCGTTTCTTTCAGCTGCACTCAGAAATTTATTAAACGTTACAATGTTTAAGAATATTGTTTAAGAAAGCAACTGTATTTTGTGTGCATTATAATTTATAAGCTTGTTTATTTTAAACACGTAAGACATTTTTTTAGGAGCTGAACCGAATAAGAACAACTGGAGCAACAAATTACTCATTAAATTTGACATAAAAAAAAAATCAGAAAGTTACATACGCTCTGCAATTAAGTGTGTAACATCTTAATTTAACAAAACATTAATTGGACATTTAAATTTACAAGCTCGAGGATGTAAACACGTAACATGACGTTATTACGGAGTCACTCAAGGTGGGCTTTAAAGCCTTATGAAAGATTCATCTGACACTTTAATTACATCCAGATATCTAACGTGAAGAAGAGTAAAGCCTTTAATTCCTGAATATTACATTAAGGAGTCGTCGACCGACACGCGAGCACGATGAGAAATGATGTTGACGCGCGAGCGAGCATTGTTATCCGCGGATCTAGCCCATAATCAGGCGGCTGGTGCGAGGTAGAAATATTAATTTCTAAAAGTATGATAATGAAGTGAAATCCGGCGGCTCTCTGACTTTCCTTTTGATGCCACGAAGCAGCCGCGTCGTTGCCTCGCAATCCACCGCGGAAAAACCGACGCGAACAAAGGAAGGCAAAAATAATGATGCGAGCGGCGATTCATTCAACCGATCAAACTTGCCTACAAAATACGCGATTATAAAACACTTGGGAAATATCGAAAATTGATCGGAAAATATATTAATAGCCGATTTTCATTCTTAAATTCCTGGTGAATACATCGAGACCTACTTTTAGACTTCAAATACTTACAAAGTACTTGAAAGGATTATAATAAGACTTTTAATTATTATTTTAATAAATTTTGCACAAAATAATATTTTATTTTATATATTTAATTGATTACATAAATCTAAATTAATTTAAAATAAAAATCGGTTATTATTTTCCGCATAAATTATTGGTTTTTATTGCGTTATTATTCGCGGAATTCAAAGATCGTATCTCGCTGCAAAAAACTGTTTTTCATTCTTTTTTTTTGAAATACCGCGAAGTTATTTAAACAATCGTGTTTTAGTTCTGAATATGCAAATTGTACTTATTCAATGTTGATTTGACTCGTATGCCGAGAAAAAAATAAATTCAATGTTGCTTTGAAAAGACTCGTATGGCGAGAAAAAAAAATAAATATAACGAGATATTTTGAACAATTTTTCGAAATGATAGACATGCGGTGAATTAATTTATCATTAAATCGCACAATTTCGTAAAATCCATCCAACATTAATTTGATTATTTAAATAATAAATTTCCATCTTCTTCGAATTCCGATCCATTGTCGAAAAAAAATATGATTTTTAATTAATAATAACAATGAAGGCTCCGCACATTGAAGGTTGAAAACTCAGAATCGCATTTATCCATTTAAAGTTTAGTGCTGAACGTGATACACGTCACATACGAAGCGCTAAATACACGATCGTGCAATCTCTCACATTATACGGCAATAGTGTGAGTCGCATGACAGAAAAATAAAACTCGGAATCGCACTTAATCATTCGCGTTAAATGTATGATGATACCGCGAGTACGGAGGCAACAGTGCGGCAGCGTGAGAGAGGGCAAAAGGGGACGGGATGTAATGACAGCTGCAACGTGGAACAGCGTAGGCCGTGTCTCGTTACGAAACGGAATGCACGGTAAAGACACCAAGGTCCAACGCTCTGCATTTAGCGTCGTGTTTAGCGCTAAACGACGTACCGTCCGATTCAGACTTTTTATCCGCATAATGGAGATCAATGTCAGCGCTGGAAATGAGAACGGAAAATCTCCGTGCGCACGTTAAACGGCAAATTAAAAAGAAGAAGAGAAGAAAATGAGGAAATTCTGATCTACTGGAGGAAAATATATTTGCGTGTACAACTGCGCGACGACAACACATCGACGAGGCTTATCGAGCTGTCGAAACAGTCTACACGACAATGGCGATAAACAAACAAGAGACTTATTCATTCGATGCCTCTAAGTTGGAGCAAACAATATATCCTGTGGCTTGGGAATCAGTCAAGCGTGACGTTTCGCATTTTCGTACTTTTATCTCACTTCCTTTCCGTTTTTTTTTTCTCTCTCTTATCTTTCAACTACGTAGCGACACTTGTCGTTCCGGTGTCAAGGTAACGAACTGTAAGCGTTAATGTATGTAAAAATGCGGAAACGTCAAGCTCGGTATCTCTAAGTGAGAGCAATCAATGTTGTTTAGTGTGAAAACAAAACACCAGACGTGACCTTTTTCCTATTTTTCATCTTATTTTTTCATTCTATTTTATCTTCCTTTTCTTTCGACCTTGGAGCCGCCAAGTGACATTGATCGTTTCACTTTTGAAACGTCGAACGCAGAATATATCGCGAGGCGAATATATCGCGCGCACCGAAAGCACCGCTCTCCGAAATGCTTCGACTCGCAGAATTTTCGCGGGGTGACAAATTTCGCAGAGTGTCACGCTCGATGTATCTCGCCAGTTTCCCGACGACGTCACGGCGCAAAAGGCTTCGCTCGGGAGGACGCAACGGGAGAAGGAGGAGAGCAGGAGGAAATGCAGAAGCAGGAGGAGGAGGCGGAGGAGGAGGAGGCTGTGAGGGAGGCGTAGGAGAAGTAGAAGGAGGCGAGAAAGAAGGAGGATTCTCTTCTCCGTCCTCCGCGAGGACGATACAGGATGACACGGGAGGGAAAAGGGGGAAAGTGCCAAGAGGGTGCGGTAGACACATCAAACGTCCCGATGATAAGGGACACGTAAAGAGACAGAGAGAAAGAGAGACTCCGATACTACAAATAAATACAATGAAAAGAGAAAGGTACTCACCTTATCCGAGGGTATGGTGCGCACCGTAGTCATCGTAACTGAGGGCCAGGAGGCGTCGTGTCGCGAGTAATCCAGGATAATCGGGTCCGTGGTCCCGACGACGACGTCGGGCGTCCCGTGACGTCCGTCGACGACGACGACGACAGCGACGGCGATGGCACAGTGATCGTCGGGACGATTGTCGGCCGTGAACGACAGAGTTGGTAAGACGAAAAGAAGGCGGGAGATAAGATCCGTGGATGTGTACTCCCGATTACGGCGACGACGGCGACGACGGCGACGTGAACGATGACGAAAACACACTTTTTCTTCTTTCACGCTCACGCAGGGGCCCGCCTCGCGCGCGCGCTACACTACACCATCTCGATGGGGCCGCGTCGTGTCGTGTGTGGTCTCGCACCGCGACCGACACCCCGCTCGAATCGAGCGCTCGCCGATGGCCGATGGCCGCCGCCGCCGTTACTTGTACGCGTCCGGGCCGGGCTGTTGTTCGGGCAACATGTTGAGAACGCTCAATCGCACAAGATCAGCACCGAACGGACGAACGGACGGACGCGGTCGCGCTCTTAGCCCTGTGTGCCTCGATGCACCGCACCGCACCGCACGCACGCACGCACGCACGCACCCGTATCACCGTCCCGTGACAGTGCCAAACACATAAAATGGCGATCTCGCGTCGGAGGTACGATTTTTCGAGCGTACAAACGTCGCGGAGATTACGCGATCAACTAGACAGCGAACTCAATGTCACCGCGGCGAGAGCGCCGAACAAAGTGACGTTGTGCGCGGCTGCGCGCGTCTACCGCGCCACCACGGAGCGCGGCGTTTAGTTATTTTCTAGTTTGAAATGTACTAGCATAAAACAACGTACCGTGTGTCATTGGCTTTAGGTTAATTAATTAATTAAACTGAGTGAGCTTCTCAACGCATATTATCAACTTATGCCCAGTTCCACCAACGTAGATTAACTTTAATCTCGGTTCAACTTATTCTTCATCTTTTTCTAATTCTTAGAAGTAAAAAAAGATGACGAGTAAGTTGAACCGAGATCAAAGTTAATCTACATTGGTGGAAATGGGCATTAATCAACCAATATGCCAATATCATATTTTATGTATTTAAAAATTAAATTTAAATTTGTTTTATACTTACATATAGCCAACCTACGTATTTTCAAAGCGCCAATCACATCGTACGCGACGTCTCGTTTCTTTTGCCATTGGTAAAATCGCGCGCAATGCATTAGCGTAAGATCTGGATATACCTTAATCACTCGTCGCAAGAAATCCCTTCGTTGATCAATCTATAAAATATAAGTCTATGGTTATTACAGAAAGAATTGGATGGTAATGTCGAGTGAGATCGCAAGATCAGAGTGCTTGCGCAATTTGTTGTGCATTTCGATAAAGTGATCCGAGGTCGAAACGTAAAGAATAAAGATACACGCTACGCGATATTGTTCAGATAAAATTGCTTCAATTGCTATAAAGGACTAGTCATTCGCAGTGACCGGTAAGTTCGCGTAATCTGCGTCAGAATTCGTAATTGCCTTTTCTTTAGGCTAAGATTGTGTCCTTCAAATTCAGTGCAGCCAATATCTTTAAATATGTAAACATATAAGTGTTTTTACGTTTTTTGCACTATTAATATCGTTTATTATGCAAGACTGACGATTCATTATTTTAGTTAAACTTACAAAAAGGAACATACTTAATAATATTTCGGAATTTGTTTGCAGCTACAACATGGATGTGCCTATGTTTTCTGAAAAAGTCGCTCTACAACTGAAATTGTTTGCTCAACAATGCATAGATGAGCCATCGATTTTACATGATCCAAAATTGTCTTTTATCAAGGAACTGATTGAACATTTTGGTGGCAAAGTACCAGAAGCTAAAGCCAATGGTTCACAATCAGACACAAAAAGTGAATTTCAAAGCAAACCTGAAGAAGAACCACAGCCTAAATCCGAACCTGAAAGCGAAGAGAGCGACTTGGAGCTCGATATGACTGGTGTAATTGGTTAGTATATTTGTAGAATTTTATATAACCTAAATCTTTTTTGTTATGTTTCTGCATTTTTCACATTATTCTGTATGATAAATATATAATAATGTAATCTTTTGTTTTAGAACCAGATGAAGATTCTCCTCAGAAAATGGGAAATCTGACCTTACAACCCACAGAAGAGGAAATCGCAGAATCACAGGCAAAAAGATCCGAAGCAGTCTCTGCATTTGTGGAGAAAGATTACGAAAAAGCTATACAGCTTTACACGGAAGCTATTGTACTGAATCCACAGTCTGCCTTGCTATACGCTAAACGCGGTCAAGTCTTTCTGCTGTTAAATAAACCGAATGCCTGTATCCGTGATTGCGATCGTGCTCTAGAATTAAACCCAGACAGTGCGGCAGCTCACAAATTTAGAGGAAGAGCCCATCATCTGCTTGGCAAGTTCGAAGAGGCGGCAACCGATCTGCGACTGGCTTGTAAGTTTGATTTCGACGAGCAGGCGGATGAATGGCTGCGTGAGACTACACCAAATGTGAGTACTATATTTTGTTTTGCCTAAGAGAGTTTTTTTTTTTGCATGAAAAATACATTTTGCTTTGTGTGCTATGGAACGCTATGTCCATGCTACATTTTATGACATGCTATTTGGGAATATAATGCAATAATACATTGTTTAATAATGATTGATTATAAAATTTTACAAAATGTTTAATAACTCTATAGAAGTCTATAAGACTCTAGAGAACTGACTACAAAAGTTTTCTCTTTGTATAACTGTTACATAGAAGAGAATTGTTGCATGGAACATTTTAGTGTGAAGACAGGGATTAGCAGAAAGTTTTTACGGATAAATTTATGGCTTAATTCATGTTCAACATATAACCTTGCTTTGCATATTGAAAACAAATCTGTTTTTATGAGATTCCCGTATGCCGTTTGTACGCCTTGTGTGATTTCTATTAAATTCATATTAATACAATACATACATTTACTTAGCGGGTGATTAATTGTATTTGGGTGTGAAATAATGTCGCATGTATATATATATATATACATAAAGCAACCATAATACACATTCTTATTTGAAACGTACACTTGCCTAAATATACAATAAATTATAATAAATCTCGTATAATAATACAGGATGCATCTCAGATTTATCATTTGTCAATTGTGTCATTTATTAATAGCAGATTGCTAAGGTTATTTGGAGACAAAAATCTTTATATCAAAATGTCATAGTTACAATGATTCTAAATGGAAAGTGTTTAAAGTTGACGAATCATATTGTAGCTTTGACATTTTGGTATAAAGATTTTCATCTCCAAATCGCTTCAGAAATCTGCTATTAATGTGGGTGATACAATTGATCTGGGACATTCTGTATATCTACTTAACCTAAATACACTGTGTGTCAATATATTAAATCTTATTCTAATTAAAGAAATAGATGCTTCAATAATATGCGTTCGTAACAATATTAAATTTACTCAACGTAATCTTTGTATAATGTAAGATAACAATGATGATGATAGCAACAACATTACTAATAACAATATTAACAAAACACATTTAGACGCTAGATGAATCGTGCATTTGTGCAATCACGTAAATGACAAAGCTTGCTTCGTTGTTCGCATAAATTTCAAATCTAGTTTACCTTGCAACACCTATTCGTGTTCATTAATGTTTTTGCACTTTAGCTGAAAGCGTATGTTACCTTTATGCCATTGTTTAGAATTTTCAATCCGAATCGTAATTATTAACATGATCCAATTCTTTTTGACAGTTTGTTAAAATTAGAAAAGTACAATTGAGGACATATAAGCAGCGCAGATATGTTTAGAAATATAAAAATACTTGAATGAATAATCTAAGAATTCTAAGATTGAATTTCGTGATTTAAAAATTTATAAGTTTTAAAGATTTAATGATCGAAGAATTTGGAAGAAAGAGAGAGAGAGAGGATAAAATTTATATAGGAATCTAAATATCTACAAATTGAACTATTTGAGGATTTGAGGAATTATAAAATTAAACAGCTAAATGTTCAAGAAATTTGGAAAACTAGATTTAAATATCTATGATGTACACACCACTATTTAGAACAATTCGGTGTCTAAAAGTGTAAGAGACATACACATTCTGTCTAATGTGAACTCGAAGAATGTCCAAAATTTGGATCAGAAAAGCATTACGATCTGCCTCACACGTTAAACTGAGCAACGTGTGAGAGATCAGATATATTTTTCATTATTTCATTATACATTTTAATAAGAACACAAATCTCAACCTATACAAGGTTTCACAAAAGCCACAAGAAGAGATCACTTTATCTCTTTCGCAATGGAAATATTTTGGTACATTAATTTAACTTGTCTCCATTACGGAGGAACTTGTCGGACGAAACCGTCACGGTTATCTATACATTACGTCGATTTTGGACAGTCTGTTTTCTTTCGAGATGAACTATCAACAGGCACCGATTCGTCGCGAGACAAACGAAGTCTCGATGCAACAGTGATGTAATTCATTTTTTTAAAAACTTGAGAAAATTAATCTCTAAATTTAAAAGACTTTTATGTTAAGACAAGATGTTGTAATTTTTCAAAATTTATCTTGGATCAATTTTTTACTAATTCTAAAATTAAATTTTAAATCAAAATTAAGCACGGAAATTTCTACAATTGGAAACTTTAAAATTTAATTCAAGAGAATTTTAATACAAGATTTCATGAAAATTGAATAAATTATTCTTCTGAATGTTTTGATTATATATTTCATATTTCGATAAATTTGGTCAAATACTTAAAAATATGAAATGACAGATCACTGCGCCGAAACTTGAAGTTATTGTCGTGAGGAACCGATATCTGAACACATTATATTCGAAGGGAACTCTGACTGTCCGCTTTTGGATCGGAATGGTAGCACTCGCATTGTTTTACCAGACACAAGCGACACACTTGTTCTTCCTCTGCAAACGAGCAGATGTACACCCGCTGAACGCGTGATACCACACTCCACGTCGTGTTCTTCGCTCTGTCGAGAAGGATGCTATCCTTAAGCTGTCCGGATCTAGAGATACTCGGCGTTATCCACCCGCCGTGACGACACCTCGACTTTCACGTTTCAAGACTTCCTGCTCTTTTGTCGGTTTCTTTCGCGAAGCCGACTTATTCTCATTAGGAGCATTTCGAATACGACGCGCGAGAGTAGTGCGATCCAGGTTGTCTGAGTTTCGGGAAGAAAGTCCTCGGTACCATCTCAAATATCGGACAGCGCTTAGTCGAAAGCGCATTCACCGTTATCGTTCTTCAATCTTTGCGCGTTACCAAGGTATGCTTTCGGCTGAGCGTTCTTATCGAAATCTAGCGAAAGTGAATTCGGTCGCTATGTCTCGCCGATCCGTATATTTCGTATGGTATCAAGAGCTCGATTCCGGAACGCGGACTCGCACTCAACTCGGCGGGCTGTTGCCCTCGTGCTCGTGCAACACCGCCTCCGCCGATTTCTTGTACTTGCCTACCAATTCGGGTAGGTCGTAAGCGATGGCTACATCGAGCCTGTTGATCGGGCAGCCGCGGAAGTACGTGCACGTGGAGCTCAGCAGCGGAAAGTCGTAAAGCGGATTCAGCCGGAAGAAATCGCGGTAGACGTCTGGATCGGGCAGGTCGTAACGCGATATGTTCGTCAGGGTGCTGAGGCCCTCGTAGATGTGGTAATCCTGCGGGTTCTCAACGATCTTGTCGCTGATCTCCCGCTTGTTGCCGAAGAACGTCTTGTGGTTGTAGTACGTAGTCAGATAACAGTCCACCATCTTTGCGTGATTGCGCACTCGTACCTGAAATCAATGAGGATCGAAGGATGAGCCAAGCTAGAATCATTTTACAATACGAAATAAATAATTTTTACAATTGGTTCGTGCATTTCATTTTCTATAAAATTATTCGCTCGAGATTCGTAGCAAAAGATCAATTACTTGGATCAGCTTTAAGAGTTGGAATGAACTTACGGCGAATCTTCTGGCGCTCGCTATTTTGTGCTCGACTCTTTTGTTCACTGCGGTGCGTAGATCGCGAAGGAATGCGCGTTCTTGAGCGTACAACAGTCTGATGGGCGCACCGGCTTCGTAAGGCAAAGACCACAATGACGTGGAGTACATTATCGGCGGCTCCGCGCTCGACATCAGCGGCGATATATTCCAGATTAGGGCGCCTTGCACCCTCATGAGTTCCTCAGGCTTCACCTGATCGGCCTTATTGAGGATGATGCGTGTCTGAAAGTTATTCACATTTATTATCGGTTAGACGCTCGAAACGATTTTTTTCTAACGGAATTTTGTCAATAATATTAGACGATTTTTTGTCAAGTAGTTTATTATTCTTATCATCTCTTACTTGATACTCCCTTCCCTTTAATTGATCAAGAATCGCCTCGGTTTCGGGTCCCACGTCTAACTTGGCGGGATCGTAAACCAAGAATATTATGTCCGCTCGATCGATGAACCACTGACACGCATCGTTGAAAGGGAATAAGCGTTGAACTTGCTTGCGAATCTCTAAGATACCTGGTATCTCGACGATGTTCACCTAATCATGTAGCGAGTAATTAATATCGCGTGAAGTGCTTTTATTGCGCAAATTTTATTGTTTAAAGCGCAGTTTAATTAAGACGTAAATTAAATATTTATTAAAATTATAATCAAGTTTCGTATCACAATTTTTTCATGCTATTTGAAAACAGTAACTTTATTTATTAGAAAATACGAAATTATTTATCACACAACTTATTAGTTTCAAAATTTGTTAAGGAGACTTAAAGAATGACGATTATAAAGGATTTTATCCGTCAATTTTTTAATTTTGAATTAATTATTATTTTATATAAGCGAAATATTTATATATATTATATGATTCGAGATTTAATTTAATTTTTGAAATATAAGACATTGCAACAGCAATTCAAGTAGAAATTCAAAATTTAATTAATAATTGATTTTGTATTATTTTACAATACATATCTTTAGCATACAACACATAATTAATTGCGCGTTATTTATAGCGAGAAAATGGTTATGTTCGTTTACCTTTTCCAACAGTTTGTTGTTAAGTCGCAAGCCTCTGAGACGATCTAGCAGACCCTGGCCGAACTTCTGTAATCCCGAAAAGGTCCAGTCGGCGGCCAGTTGTGTGCCGTCAAGGACTTCCTCCTCCTCGCCGTGCATTATTATGTTGAAGTACGCCGGTGATGGTTCGGCTCCTGTGTCATTTTTTCCATTTGGCGATTTGCAATGCTCTTCTAAGCACTCTCTCAAACCACCTAAACACTATCTATATATTCATGCTACTAGCATGCTTCCTACAACTAGCTCTTAGCTACTTTATAAGCACAAGCCAACGAAAGGATATAAGAAAAAAAATCTCCTCTTTAATTGTGTACCTGTCCTCAGCGATGTTGGCTTGTACTCGATGTCAAGCAGGTAATTGATAATGGATGATTTCCCTCCGCTCCATGGACCCATAAAGAGCACCAGTGGCTTGGAGAATATTTCGGGATCTGATAGAATAATAATCATAGAACAATATTATCAAGCAAGCATTAATTAAAAGGATGATTATAATCGCAAAATTGCGCGTAAGAAGAAATTTTGTAGGCAAATGTGAAACTGGATATAAAATTACACGTTAATTCTGACGGGATTTTCAATTTTTTAAATTGATTTTTATATAATTTTATAGTGTTAATTATTAAATTTAATTTCAATTCATGAATTTTACTCAATGAAAATAAATAAAAGTATTGAAATTACGATCGGTTGTGAAATTGTGTAACATTTAAAAGTCACTTACCTCCGAAGTGCCTGTTACTCAAGTCCCTATATTTGTACATGGTTTCCAATGGTTGTATAGCGCTATCGTAGAGTCTCTTCAGATCCCTGAGGATGATATCGGCCTCTCTTTGTACAGCCCGCTCTCTCTCCTCATTTTCCTCATCCAATTTCAATAGTTGATTGATGTGATCTCTAGGTCGAAGGTTCTCCGGTATTTCGATTTCCTGAATTAAATCCTCCTCTGGAGTTGGTTCTTGTTCCTCTTCGCTAGCAGCTGATATCGCGCGAAATTATATTATTAATTATTAGGCTAATTATTAGGCTAATCATATTAATGTTAATAGTGTAAAATATAGCATAAATGCGACAAGACAGAGAATTTACAGCTTTTGAAAACTGTGACGGAAAATCTTTCGTTTACCTTCTTCCGCAGATTCACTGCCTGCTTCGGCTCCTTCCTCGCCGACTTCTCTTTTGTCGCGCGATTTTATCTCCTCTTCCTCTCCATCAGATTTCGCATCTTCTTCCTCCGATTTTCCCTCTTTCTCTTCTGTCTCCGCGCCTTCTTCTTCCGCAGACTTCGCTTCTGATTCTTCAGATTTCGCTTCTTCGTCTTCCGCGGATTTCGCTCCTTCTTCCTCCGCGGATTTCGCTCCTTCTTCCTCCGCGGATTTCGCTCCTTCTTCCTCCGCGGATTTCGCTTCTTCTTCCTCCGCGGATTTCGCTCCTTCTTCCTCCGCGGATTTCGCTCCTTCTTCCTCCGCGGATTTCGCTTCTTCTTCCTCTGCAGACTTCGCTCCTTCTTCCTCAGCGGATTGCGCTTCTTCTTCCACAGATTTTGCTTCCTCTTCTACAGATTTCTCCTCTTCCTCTTCAGCAGATTTCGCTCCCGAATCTTCCGCTTCTTCCGATTTTATCTCTTCTACATCTTCAGAGCCTGCTGTTTCAGCGCTTTCTTTTTCCTCAGTTGCACCTTCAGCTTCCGCACTTTCACTCTGCGCTTCTTCCTCAGCGCTAACTTTCTCATCTTCGCCACTCACCGTCTGATCCTCAGTCGATTCGGCACCCTCTTCAGCTTTGCTGTCAGCTTCCTCCTCTTTCTCGCTTCCTTCCTCAACGCTAGCTTCCGCGGATGCTTGTTGAGCTTCCGCCTCTTCTTTGGACTCAACTTCTACTTCTTCGGTACCTTCCTTGGATTCCTCTTGCGTTTCGTCTTCAGCCTTTGATTCTTCGGCTTCACTTTTTTCTTCCTCGGACTTTGATTCGTCGTCTACTTTTTCCTCGTCGGATTTTTCGTCTCCTACTTTTGTTTCTTCGTCGGATTTCTCTTCGTCAGGTTTCTCTTTCTCTTCCTCCTCGGTTTTCGCTTCTTCGCTTTCAGTCACTTTTTCGGAGGAATCGGTTTGTTCTCCGTCGTCTTCTGTCGCTTCGGATGCACCTTCTGCTTCCTCTGTTTCTTTTATAAAAACAATGTTAATTCTTTAAAGATTCTTGCAGTTTGAATGAAATTCCAAAGTGTCAGTGACCATTCTAACCATTAAATTTTGTTATTATTACCTTAATCAACTTTCCAAATTCTTGATTCAAATTTTTCTATATTTATTCTTAAATACGTTGATAATTATACTAATTTTACCTTCTTGAGCGGCGCTATCTTCGGCACTCTCGGCAGCCGCGGCTTCTTCGCTTGGTTCGTCTTCTACTTTTTCGGATTCTCCCTCTGTCTTTTCTTCGCTAGTGTCGGCTTGCTCTTCAACCGCTTCCTTACTCTCATCTGCGGCCGTTTCAGTGCCTTCCTCTACGGATCCTTCCTCGTCCTTAGCCGCACTCTCTTCTTTCGAATCATCGTCTGCTGCCTCTCCAGCCTAAAGAAAAAAATAAATCTGCAATATTGACTTTCAGATTTTTTTTCTTAGAACATCCTACACATTAATTTTATTGTGTTAACTGTATAAAAATTATACATCTAAAAAAAATTATTTTATGTAACAGTGGATTTTATTTCGTATAGAGTTAAAATATATTAATAGACTGATTTTTATCGAGATTAAGTTGAGAATTTAATTAATTTGAGATTTAATTACTTAAAATGACGGACGAGATTTGACTAATGAAGGTAAAAATTTAGAATAGAATTGACCCTAAAGTGTTTAGAAGATCTTACTTCCTCGCTCGCAGGTGACGCTTCCTCATGGCTTTCTTGGTCGACCTCGATTCCGACCTCTGCACTGGTCTGCTCCAAAGATCCTTCAAACGAAATATTCTAGAAATCGCTGTGTTCCAGCTGAATATTCGCCATCATCTAGTATTACCTGTGCCGAGATCCTTGAGTGCCTTCTCGATGTACGGTCGACATAGATCTTCAGACGGTATCCGTTCTAGCTCGTCCTCGCTTTGCACTCCTAAAACGTTGTTACAACGTTGTTGTATTTGTATGTTTTGCATATTCCGTCGCTTATCAGCTGAATAGTAAAAAGATAAATTCGCTCGAAAAGAAGGGAGATATTAAAATTCGCAAAATCATCTAATATCAAAATTTTCAATATTTAAAAATTATAGATGTATCAGGCTCTGATGATTGTTAAAATCAATAATATTTGATAGGGGCGTAAAGAGCCAACAGCCAGATATTCGTGCGAAGGTTATCGTGTATTAGTTTATAACCATTAAACATTTACATTAAAAACAAACGTTTCAGCCTGTCATCAGGTCTTTATCAGTGTTATTACAAAAACCAATAAAACGCAACGCTTAAAATTAAATACAAAATAAGAAGTAAATTGACATAATTAACCGAAGAGTAGTTCAACCACGTTAGAATTGTGTTAAAACACTTGTAGAAAGCTCATCCACCCAAGATGGAACGAGGTAGGAGAGAAATCTTAGATCCATATTATATGATGGTTGAAACCTCAATGTACGCAATAGAATAACGACAATATTCAAGTGACGAAAGAATAGTGAAAGGGCGGTGGAGGAGGGGGGACGGAAAGAATAAGGAGTATGGAGAGAAAGGTATAAGTACCTAGGAGGGGATGAAAGGAATTTTCAATATTTACTATAAAAAATTTTTTTTATAATTTATATAAATAATATCTATTATTAAAATTTTCAACATTTATGATACGTTTCGATACGTTACACAATGTTACTAACTGATTCAGTTTAATCCGATACACATAGTACTCATCGATCGCGGCAACTTTTCATTCGTTAATAGTTCACCGCGCCTGATTAGTTCACAACATATCAAAAGTTTTGCATATACACACTGCCGAGATATTCGCATTTCACCGAGCGTGCACCGCTGCCAGAAATTTCGGCAAAGAGAATTCGCGCGTTAACGCGATTGTGCCAAAAGGATCCGCGCGATATTAGATAACCCATTGCGCGGCGGTAACGACGGAGCTTTGCGGCGACAGTTGAGTTTAACGCCACGCGACCACCAACCCCGAAAATATCTGACCCAGGTGACGCAAGAATTTGTCAAAGTCATTACGCACTTCGGCCGAGCGGGCCGTGCGCGTGTTCGCCCGCGATGACAGGTGTTCAGGAACACCTAGCGCAACTTGTCATCCGGTCCGATGATACAGGTAGCGCGCCTCTTGCAAACAAGTATTGCGGAATTTTAGGTCGACTACTACTTTCTATCAAATGATTCTCAATCGACTTTCCGAAGATGTTTTGCCACTAAAGTAATTAACACTTAGCTAAAACTTGGAAAAGTGAGAATTGATTTTTTGGAAGATTTTTTAAAACCTGTATTATTAATATGAATTATATATTTACATAAAAATCTAAGAAAAGAATCTGTCAGATTGGAGAACATTGAGGTGACACTTTAGTTTTATAATTTTCTTCAAAATGTTTGAATTTTTGCAGACAGGTATATTTTTAATGCAGATTTAATGATGGTTTGAAATATTTATGATTGTCTGGAAAGTTATGAGAAAATATTTGCAATTAGATTTTGCCTCATTAACAGCCTTATCATAGCTAATCTTCTTTGAGTAATTGAATTATGTTTTACTTGCTTGTACTACTTATACCTTAAATTCATTAGAACCGAGGAAAAAGCTTTTCTTAACTTTTTAATGTGCGCGATATTGACAGCAATTTGCTTGCGATAGGACTTAATTTAACAGGCGCATAAGCGTAACGCTACGAAATTCGAAGACGATGGAAATCCACCGAAGAAAATGTCGATATCATCTTTCTAGGCTGTACCTGGGACGTGGTCGGCTTCTAAGTTTAGCGGCGGGTAGGCGGCTTTGAGCCGAGAGCAACACTCAGAAATATTTATATATTAGACGAGCGAATCGTATTTTTATCGTCTCTGTCTGCGAGGAAAAGCTGCGAATTAATTGGACCGCTGTTTCTGTGTTGTTTAGACGAAATTTATTAATTTTATGATATTTTTTCGCATTTTTTATTTTTGTGGTTGACCAATGCATACAATTTCGACGTCGTGTCGCGATGAGGAAATATAATATTGAAATTTTATATCATGAGCGCACACAAATTTCGATCTAGTGGTTTCTTGACACAGAATGTTTACCAAATACTTGTGTATTTTAATTAAAACTTATAATTTTTTACATTTTTCAAAATTAACTACAGTCTACGTAATTCAATAAGATGGAATTAATATTAATAGTTAAATTTATCGGTGAAATGCTGAAGACGACTCGCAATTCTACTTGTTTAATTTGACAGTTGCTTGAATGCCGCGATGATTATCTAAACGCCAGATCGAATCATTGTAGTTTACGAGCTCACACGTGAGTAAATATAAACACGAGGAGTTCTATTTCTCGTACGATAATCGCTACGGCTCATTGTTATATCATACACATTTCCTGGCGCAAGACTCTAGTTCTCTGACGTATTTTAGCTTCCTCGAGAAAAGTAGAAAGTAATCATTTTCTACTTTTAATCGAACAGAGCTTTTTTGTTAGTTTTTTTCACCGATTTAGCAATTTTTCTTTCCATCATCGCATAAAAAGTAAACAAAAGTCGTTTCTTTTTTTAAATAGATTTGTAATATTTTTAATATTTTGATCTAATATCCCACTGCGATTTAAACGTGAATTTGAATAATTTTATGCTATCTAAGGATCCAACTTTATTCTTATTTCGAGCGCGTGAAAAGCGTCTTTTTCCCGTCTTTGTTTTTTTAATCGCGAAATTTGTGTCCCCTGTTTGTTTCCGAGGTAATGCGATAATACGAGTAAAATTTGAGTTACGAGTGATACGAGGAGACGCACGTAAGCAGCTGTCATTTGGCAAGCGCAGCTGCGCCGGATAAAGATAGAAACCCCGAGTCTTGTTCCATAGTCTACGATATGTATAGCTTTTTGTCGCACTTAATAGAATTTTTGCGATTAAAAATCGAAATTGAATCTAAGATTTGATTTGGATAATTCTTTATTAATACAGAGTTTATATCGCTTTATAAAATATTTTTATTTCACATTTTTCACAAAAATTCTGCAATCGTTGAACGACGCGATACTATCGAGCATTCGATTTGTTACAAATAACGATATACATAATATTAATAAAAATAAAAATTATATTTTTATCAGTACGATTTATTATTTGGTTAGAAAAGAATTGTCGATGAAGTTGAATGATAGTTGAGTCATAATTAGAATAATTCATTTCTCGGGACTTAGAACGTGGCTGGCACGGATTTATGCGGTTTCTTATGTAATTATCGTGCGGGTTGATGACAGCCAACTCCCATCGATTCCCAAAATAACAAATCCTTGAATCAACATGCAAGACTTTTATTTAAGTCCCGAGACGCCGCGTTGGGCGCCTCTTCAACCGTCAGTGACTTAAATTATTCAGTTATTGCGAAAAGTAAAATATATTTATTCCGAAGTAAGGAATATATGAAATTTGCTTAGCAATACTTACGTAATATTTACATCAAGTTCCTTTATTAGTTAGTGATTTATGAAAAATTATGAGAAGAATTCTTTAAACCAATTGAAGTTTGCATACTAAATCTAGTAAATGATTTGGATTACCGGATAAGTAAAAATTAGTGGGTTTAAATGAAATGAAATGTATGAGTGAAACGTGAATATAATTTCGTTTCTTGAAAACTGATTGAATGAGCTAAAATTGCTAGTGACGTTGTGTTAACAGATTCCTAATAGAATGTATTTATGCATAGAGAAGACTATAAGGGTTGATGACGCGTGCCGGTAACTTTACGTAACATTGACCTTCGTCAGTCGATCGTCATAGTTTCATCAACATCGAAACTTTATTGTCGTCAACAATGTTAATTGCATGTCTCGAAAAAACTATCTTTTTTTTACCGTTTTACCCATTTATTTTGAAGTAGCTCTTGATATTAATCTAACTCAGGTCCAATTCATTTAGCAATCCCCGATAAACCTTTACAATCTTTCACGTCGATGACGAGTCCTGATAAAGAAACGTCCATAGAAGATTGCAAGGCGAAAATTCCAAAGTGTAACACTCACAATTAGCGGCGAACAAGTGGAAAGTTTCGTATCTATCGCCTACGACAAGATCGATCGATCGATCGAGTGGCATCCACGCGCGGATAAAGTCTGGCGAATCGTTCGCGGAACTCAATGTACTCCGATGTGCTGCGAATCTACGCGAAGGGCCTGATCGATTTCACGCGACGATTTTACTGACCTTGTAAGGCGACGGCTAGAAGGCCCAGAAGGAGGCCCGCGACGAGCGCGGGTCTCATCCGCGCGCCCGTCATCTCGTCACACTAGACACTACGCGATCGGCCAGGGCCAGGGCGCTGGGGCGCACAGCTCGTACTCTCTTTCTCTCTCTCTCTCTCACTTCTCGATTCCGCCCTCGCTCCAACTAGTCCGCGAGGCACTGGCATTGTCACTACCGCCAAACCCCGAGAATGCCCCTCTCTTCTTCCTGACCGCTTCTGCTTCGTCTGCTTTTTACCCCGCGAAGACCGGGACAGCAGCGGCACGCGGCGGACGCTGTGTCTCTTTTTTTTTTCCCACCGCGTGTCTCACCTTTTCGCGGATCCTCGTGGTCATCGGCCACGGAACGACATTCGGAAAAACTTCAGATGCGGAAGTGCTTGACTCTCGCGCGCGCTATATTGAGCGCGTCGCATTAAACGTCGTGACCAAAGGCCAGAAGCGCTATCGACAGCCTCGAGAGTTGTCCATCGGCTCTTCGAGTGCACTCGCTTTGACGTTATTCCCCGACGACTTTGGCTCCCGGCACCGGGTGCATCAGCAACGGTGCACCAATTCGGTGACCTAAAACATCGATGACGAATCAGCGATAAGATTTATTTCCCGATCTCTACTGACGTTATGACGTGCGAGAAACGTGTTAAGGGAAAGAGGAGAAGGAGGGTCCCTTTCGACGAGCAGCGGACTGCTCTTATTTTTACGATGATTACGAAGACACGACGTAGATCAAGGTCGTCCATTCGCGACGCGACCGCGCGAGACGATTGAAATAGTTTCGATGTAACGTTGAAGATGCCAGCTTATGATTTCTCTTATTATTGGCATTTGGAACTATTAATGTATATTTATAGAAAAACGAGAAAATTTAAGTAGCACAATATATTTGTCACAAATTCGGAAGAAATAGAGTTGAAAAGAATAAATCTTATAATAAATTCAGCTATTTGCCCCCATTTATTTCTTTTAAGTATATAAATATTAGTGCAAATGTCGGCATCTTTTTTCTGGAATCGCTGTCGCACGACTATGCAGAAATTTCAAACTATCCGTCGTGTATTTAAAAATATCCCTCGGTTGTCCCATTATACGGAGAATTCTATCTAGACGTGGAACTATGTAGCGAGGTGTCGACATAAACCGTTGATCGTTTGACGATCCTGTGTGCCGTCGCCGCCAACTGGATCAAACGTCATCTCGCGAATCTCACCCTCGTGACTTTTGTATCACCACCTACCTGCCTACCCACTTTTTATTTATGACGAAAACGTCATCGTCTATTTTCTACCGTTACATTTTCCACCGTTCGTTAAACAGTCGTTCGTCCTGGCGAGATAGCGCGCGTAACAATGTTACCATCACAATTCACGGCGTGACAAATGCGATATTCATGATGAATAAATAAAATGCAAAAATCAGAGAGCTGCATTCTTAGATAAAGGTGACAAAATTTAAGATCTAAAAATTCCAGGATTCAAATTTCCGACTTTTATCTTTAGAATAGGAATTTCACTTTTGCATTTTTAATATTTCAAGAACATTAACTTAGCACTGGGATTTTTTTGCCAGGCAGACTGCAAAATTTTCTTGTGACTTTTAAATTTCAGTCAGTTTGGTCAGAATTAGATTTTCAAGTCGATTTTCCTCGTTAAATCTTTCAGTTCACGAATTAATTTTGAACTGATCGACGCAACTTTCGACGTCTTAGATTATTCGAAGTCTGATTTAATTATTGCTAGATTTAAAAATTCAATTCTCGACATTCTACTGTATAAATGATGTAAGTGACGCGATTAGTAATTTAATTTCTGACGCAAATGTTCGCATTTCCTCAATTTATCGATTACGAGTACGGAGGGGAGAATTTCGCTGCTTCATCAGTAAAGGCGACTATTTGAAGCATAGCACACAGCGGAGAGATGAGATTCGCCGCAAAATACTCGCGCACAGACGCAGAGGAGCGTCAGAACCGCGGGCGCCTTTATATTTAGAAGCCCGGGTCGCGCCCGTATAAGGTGGCCCGCCGTGCAAAAGTCCTCTCTTTCTCCTCTTCAGCTTCTCTCCGTCTTTCTCTTTTTTTTCTTTTTGGAACTCGTAGAAAGATATATTAATTAATAAGTTTCTACTTAAAAGAAATGGTCATTTATCTTACTAAATACCATTTTACTCTTGCAATGAAATGCTGTAGCATCTTACACAATGATAATTATTTACATTATTATTTTATTAACCAAGTTATTGATTATTATAAAATTATTTATATATCTGATCATTTTAACAGATATTCAACGATATGAATTGCTTAAATTTATTCTTCCGTGTACATGATGTTTCTCTTTTGATGTACAATTTTAATTCTGTTGTGCATAAAATTGCAAAAATTTAAGGAAAACAACAATTCTTGCTGAAGAGCTTTATTATGCCTAATGAATTTTTATTACGCTCGCAAAGATTATTTGCAAAATCGTATTTGTAAAATCAATCTCTCTGTTATTTGCAGCTAAAACTTCATTTTCTGCGATTATTTAATTCTGATGTGCAATAATTCCGCAATTACGCTTTGATTTAAACACTTATCAAACTGAATTTACATTTACTGTATATTCATCATATGCTCAAAGCTTGGCTCGAAGCGAAATGACTTGTTTCACGGCATTTTTTCCTGACATAATGAAATAACGAGAGACAAATATTGGCAGCTAAATAGACAATCTTCGCAATCTCGTATAATAAACCCGTTAATTATGTGCGATCACAATATGTATACGTCGGCCGAGCATGTTCCACTGTCATTATAATTTGGGATTTGGACGCGTTCCTAAAGACGCGCGATGGGTCACTCTTTTCCGTAAAGATCACAGGATGCCCTATTTATTTCTATCTATGTTTAGACCGAACCTTGCACGCTCACCATCAAGTTCACCGCTTTATTACGCAGTGTTCCCATGCTTTATTCGCGAATCGCTTCTAATCGCTATTTCTAACAGCACGCTGTTTCATTACGATAAGCACGTGTATATTTTTTATGTCAATTTTGTATTTTGTGATATGTATCTTGTTGGACTTTGTTTAACTCTATCTATCTATCCGCATGTGCAAGTAAGTAAATCATAACTCGTTTTCACTTGGTGTGTTAAATTATTCTATAATTTTGTATATAGCTTTTCTCATCCATAATTTTAAGTACCGTTTTCTAACAAACTTTAGATAATGATTTTAGATGTGGAACTTTAGATAAAGAAACGTTGTACTATATATTAGGCACGAAAGATAGAAGAGCACAAGAGGAAGAAGGAACGGAAGGCGCAGGAAAAATTGGAGCGCGAGAGACAGGAAAGATTGCAAAAAGTGCGAGAGGCCGCCAAAGCTCGCGAGGAAAATACGCGAACCTCACAAACGGACGCGGGCAATGAGTCTCCCGGCACGGGAGATTTCCAACAATTCCTCAAAGATCCCGATGTACTTCAAGCCTTTCAGGTAACTAGAGAAAGTCACATGGTCTTTAGTAATTTAAGAACGTTTACTCATATGCGTACTCTCTACTGGAAAGTATCTATTAGATAAATGGAAACGCATTGAATCGAATTTCTACTATTTAATAAGAAGTACAAAATATATCAATTAATCAAAATACATTAATTCAGCCATTTGTTTACGCAAATTGTGTTCCGTGATATTCAATTTCGAAATATACATTTTTATTTTAGCGACAATTTAATTAAACATTGATCATAACTTTTAATTCTAATTAATTTTAAAGTAATAAATTGGCATTTTTTTCACTTTCTTTTAAATTATAAAACATTTCCAAATGAAATATATCTGTCAGTAATAATTATACAATTTTTGCAAATCCATCGCGGCGATGCGTAACTCGATCATTCACACGAGCGTGTCTCTAGGATCCGGAAGTAGCCGAGGCCTTCAGGGACATCTCCACGAATCCGATGAATGTCCTGAAATACCAGAACAATCCCAAGATAATGGCGCTTATCAATAAAATGGCCTCGAAATTTGGCGGCGCCGCCATGCCAGGCGGCGGAATGAATTTCCCGGGCGCTGGGATGAATTTCCCAGGCGGCATGCCCGGTTTTCCCGGTGCCGGAGCAGGATATCCCAATCCACCAAAACCAGCTCCTGAGGACGACGTTGGCCTCGACTAATCGCGATCGCATCTTGATCGATTGACTCATTAAAGGCTGATTTACTCTTAGCTTTTTTTAACGTTGTTCGTTGAATATTACTTAAAAAAAAACTTCTCACGTAATTGAAAAGAATTTAAACGATCGATCGAATTAATTCCGTAAGAATAATTCCGTGCGTCGGCAACTCAATTCTGCATTTACTTCTTGCTGTTGTTTTTCTACGTAATTTTCAGCCTGATTTTAGACAATCTGCAATGTCTAATTTAAACGTTTCGTTGTTCGCCATTTGTTCTTCACTCTTGCATAATTTACTTGTAATTAGAGTAAACATTTCACATCTTAGAATTAACATGGTTACTTTAGAATTTACATTGATAAGATAAAACGGCCGCCTTTAATGGGTTAAAAAGCGCTATTGTTTGTTTATATCTCTCGCTCTATATATAAAAGGATGTACAGGGTGGGGCATTTTAATCGCCCCAGGCGGATATCTCGGAAACTAAGAGAGATAAAAGAAAGTTTTATGTAAAAGTTGTAGGGTTTAAAAAGATCTATTTACTGATCTTATCAGTTTGACCTGACCTTGGCGACGCCATCCAAGGTCGAACCGATTAGATCAGTAAATAGATTTTTTTAAATCCTACAACTTTTACATAAAACTTTTTTCTTATCTCTCTTGGTTTTCGAAATATCCGCCTGGGGCGATTAAAATGTCCCACCCTGTATATATATAAAGCCTGATATATACAAATAGCATGTATCAGTGATATGTCTATATCTCCGAAGAAAGAACTTTTATTGTGAATCAATATAGTTTGTTATACATTACAGAGCGCTCTTCGTTTTCTAAGAAGACGAATTTCGTGTGTGTGCGTTGTATTTTATTACCTAATCCCCCCCATTGATCGTACTTTATCATTATCAACGATTTTTCTCAAACGGATACAGTTTTCGAAATAATGCTGTAAGCAATTAAATATATTCGACTCGTAAAATCGATATAAGATAAGTAAGTATTCTTTTTTCTTCAATTAATTACATTTAATCGCCGATATTTTGTTTTTAATCATTATTTTGTGTCTTACATGTCAGTGCCATAATTAACAATCTGGATATTGTGTGTGTAGATGCATTAATTTTGGAGATAAAATAAATTACATCGAAGAAGTGATTTAAAAGGTTTAAAATTGATTAAAGTCGACATTAAATTTATCGCTATTATAAACAATAATTAATTCGCAATTTAACGAGAGAGAGTCAGATCGGCACTGTCTTGCTTGTTTTCGTTAAGTAATTCGTCCACGAGATACAATATAATTCTACATTGATAAGATAAAGCATGGGACACGAACTGCTTCGTGCGCGAGATAGATTATAAACTGCCACGTTGAGTACTTATAAAGTATTCAAATAATGCCACTTAACATTCTACAAAAGAGTTCAACAGTAAAACCCCATTTGTCAGAATTACTTTTAAGCAAAATCTCTATGAAATGATAATTGTCTGAAGATCTCACGCAATATACAATTATTATCGAAGATGAATTCTTCATTTACACAGTCGCAATTAATCAAAACGAATATAGTCATTTCGTTTGTGAGCAAGTAATCTTAAGGATGTAGCTTTTAAGATTCCGGAGTTTATATCCGGCATATTATTCAATTAACGAACCGTTTACGTATTCATTAAAATCGGTAAAATTTACATAAACGAACGATCGAAGAAATTAATTAATATCATGTAGAGAGTTAATTTTTCTTTCTACACGATATTAGTGATATCTATTAATAGATCGAAATAAGACTATTTCAATTTATGCGTATCTAATTCTGATTATATACTAACATGCTATTCTGTTATTTGAAAAATATATAAAAATTGAGGAATAGAAAAATGCGATGAAAAAAAAAGAAAGGGAACACTTTTAAGGGATTTAGCTTCTTAGACGATCCGATAAGCGGAGTTGTATCTCCAGATTATTCCAATAAACGGAGTTCCACTGAGAATTCTGTTTCGTGTGTTATCCTGTCAGATCCATATATAAAATGTTTGCAATAAATATGTACAAAAATATATACGCTCGCCAGTAATAATTACAACTCTTTCTCTTTCACTCTTTCTCTCTGCATTAATTATTAAATGTTATAGAGCATTGCATCGCCGGTCGCTTCTCGCGAACGCGATGCAATCCCGATGGCTTTCGCGCTAGAGACGACGGGATCTCTCGAAGTCATCGTCGTCGTACGGCGCTCGTTTACAGCGATCATTTGTACACTATATAGCGTGAACTTAAGAATCTAGAAATATTGCACGTGAAACCGAACGGTGTATCGCATTCTCGGAGACGGTGATCGTGGAAGAGCGTTTCGCTTCAGACACGGGGAAAGTCACGTGGTGTCGTCTCGCGAACGTTGAAGCGACGAGCACGATGCACCACGTGAGTCTAGATTATGTGGAATCTTCTGTATCTTTTATTAAGATAATCTGTCGCGATAGCAAAGGCAAATAAACAACGCAAGCGTGTCACGTTTAATTGAACTAACGCGTGAACCGTCGAAAAACTGACTGCGGCAACTTGACAAATCATCGTGTGCGGAATTATCTTGAGGTTCGCTCGATTCTTCGTAATAGATTCGACATCAACATGCTTTATTCACTTGCCTTCTCCAATTTCTTCATCTACGCGTTTTCTCCCTTTTCACTCTTTATTGCAATTCTCTTCGCTACGTCCTCCTGATCTTGAGCATATGCAAGTTAGGGTGCCATGGCACTTTTCTGAAGGTCGACGCTCTCGTCTCCTCCTCGGGCGACAGATTGTCTTCATTGGCCTCGTCTATCGATGGTTGAGTAACATTAACGCCGCAGCTGCTGCTGAGCACTCGTCGATGACGCGTCGCGTCCATCCGAGTACCGGCGTTCCATCCACCGGGATCGCTCAGTACTCGACGGTGTCTCCTCTGGCCGTTGCGGTGGCGATGATGATGATGATGATAATAGTGGTGGTGATGATGGTGGCGATGCTGCTCGGACGCTAACGACGCGTCGCACTCCAAACGTACGGGAAAAACGGGATTCGGATCCAGATACAGCCAGCTCGCGCTGTCCACGTAGGGGAGGAAGTGCACCGCGTCCAATGACAGCGAATGCGGATACATTAGTCGCTTGTAAGCGTATTCGTTGTCCATAGATGGTTTAAGCATCAGTCTCCCAGGACAGTGAGGGTCTCGCAAGCCAGGGTGCGGTCTGTTGGCATCGCATATTTTATCAGTGAGCAGTGAATTTAGTGTACAGCCGCCAACCACTATAATCATTATTATCATTATTATCGGCATGTTCTTTTGATTCGAAATTTCGCTCTTAATAAATTAAAACAAATTATAGAGATGGATAAAGAGTTAATCATCACTCAAGAATTCTTCATTAAACTTTTTTTTTTTTAAGAAGAATAAATACACGCAAGAGAATTGAACTTATTATATCGATTGCACAATTTCAACGAACCTGCACGAGAGTCGGCGCGAGATTCCGCGTTGTCAGTTGAGAGGATGCTCTCCCCGTGGCGTTCTGTAGCACTTGTTCCACGCCTCCAGCAGCAGCACGCAGCTGTGAAACCTGTAGAAGATTAGAAGAGGCAGGCCGATCCTGGACAGCACGCCCCAAGCGAGCACGCCGAAGAACCGCAGCTGCAACTCCTGCGACAGCCAGTTCTGCGTGATGACGGTGTCGAAGGCCCAGAGAACGGCGTTGCTGAACAGCAGGAAGGTGATGACTTGCCGGCCGGGCTTCGCCAGCATCTGGAGACGCGTGAGGCACGAGCGTCGCGACGTTTCGGCGATCAGCGTGCTCTGCGCGAAGCACTGCACCAGCTGCAAAACCGACATGGACAGCAGCATGATGTGGCGGGCACGCGTGTCCTCGGTCTCGCCGTGATCCGACATGGCCAGCGAGCACGCGCACACCACGATGGTGAACACGGAGTAGAGTTGCACGCCGAAGAGCGAGACGTTCGACAGGAGGCTGTCCAGGGCGGCCGGCGCGCGCGACACCACCGAGATCTGACGCACCTGCACGAGGCCGCTGGCGGTCATCAGACTGCTCAGGGTCAGTATGCCGATTAGAGTGCCGCACGTCAACCAGGACAGCGTGGCGGAGGGGAAATTCTCGTCCTCCCGCACCACGAGGAAGATTAGAATCACCACGATGCCGGCGACCATGCAGAGGATACCTAGAAAGAGACCCTTGCTGGAACCGTCGCAGCCCACCCTGCTGTGGCTGCTCAGATCTTTGCTGCCGTGGAACTTTTGCTTCATAAACCGACCCCGGCCGACGTTTTGACCCATCACGAAAGTCACTGCCGCGGCGATTAGACTGAAAAATTGAGAGAAATTATGAGAACTGCTGGCAAGTATATCATTAGAAGTTGAATTTACATTGAAAAGTTGCTCAACGATGTAATAACGCACCTAAATTGCACGATGAAGGGATACAGGAAAGGCATGCTTGACGTCCACAGCTGCCCTAAGGTATTGGTGTTTAGGCACTCCTGCAACGCGATCACTTGCGAAATTTGCTCGTTCGAGACAGGTTGATAGGGCCTGAAGTTCGCTTTCGTCGTGGGCTCGTCTGAAATAACCCGTTCTCGTAATCGGTCTTGGAAAAACTTAAGTAAAACTTAACCTTAAAACTTAAACTTAAAACTTAACAGAGAACGAAATACCTATAAGATCCCGCGACTGCCTTGTCAAGGATCCGGGAAATCCCCGAAGATTCAGCGGAGATATAGACGTCTCCTGTTCGTGTTGCGCCAAATGCACAAAATAAGTCCACTCCTGCGCGGAATCCCAAATCACCAGACGCACCCAGACCGCGACATTGGTGGCTGCGAGATGCGTGAAGCCGAATCTGGCTGCCAGGCCGAAGCGCTCTACGAGGACCTGCGGATACGAACGGGAGAGAAATAAAAATTCCATCCTAAAATCGATGGTTTTCTCGAAATTTCAACAGATGTATTTTGGTAAAGTTTTAAAGTTATTGTGCGTAATTTGTAAGAAGCTGTTCTGGCACGCCTGATGTACGATCGCGTAGTGATACATAGTCGTTGAGGCATCAAAGCGTAACGAAGAAACGCGCTCACGCATTGTCTGACCGCGTAGCGAACCGCGCTCAGTGCTTGCTTTAATATAATTAACGTAACGCCGACGCTTGCCTGCGAGTTTACGAAGAGAAAGTGCATCTGTAAGAAGGTGAACAGGCCATGTACCACCGGATGCACAAAAATGACATCGGTCAAGCACTCGGCGCCCTGCATCATCGAGTGCATCGCCATTTCTAAACCGTTGAAGACCAGAGTCGCCAGGCCGAACACTGAAAATCAGATAATAAAACCAGTTAATAAAACTTATTTGATCGTACAATTTCTCAACTATAATTTTAATAATCCAGCCATATTTTGAATTATAAATAAATTCGAAGCTAAGTTTTAAACGAAAAAGAAATTGAACTGAATTCAATTTCAAGTGTATCACACGGATGTGATAAATTTTGCACATTAAATCTTGATTAAGTAATAATTCTTAATTGAGATATCAATAAAATTTCAGATGAGGCATAAATGAAATTCTTCGGTTTCATTTTCGCATAATTAAAGATACAAAAACAAGTATCGTCGCGGTTTTTTTTCTTGGCCTATTAACGCTGTCACTTACAGAGTGCGCCGACGCGTATATAGAAACTGGTCGGTGCGGTTCTGGCTCTGGAGATGTGCGCGCGTTTTAACGACCCGAACCTGGTGAGTGACGCGCCGCCAAGTTCCGCGTCGCCGAGCCCGTTACGGCTTCGGCTTAAGCTGCTGCAACTGTCAACCAGCACCCATATGTAGATGCCGATGATAACGGCGATACTGCCCACGTAGAGATACATGAGGAAGATGCCCTGCGAAAAACGATTGCGAATTATGCAACTTTCAGCGGACGCGCTTGTTATGCAAAGTTCAGATATCGGAGTTGTGATTTGGAACACGACCCTGAGCGGGGATTGCGCGCGGAAAGGGTCGTTACATTGATAAGCGCCGGCGATCCGGTTTCTAAAGCACGACGACGACCAAGACGTTTCATTTATATCGTTCCCCGATCCGTAATTTATGCGCACGGGAGCTCTCTGTAATCTCGCGAACTCGGTTCGCAATTACGTACGGTGTTTCGATACAAATTGCTCGACATACCTGTTACATTGGACCGCTTTTTAATTCCGATCGTATCGCCTGGGGTTCCCGGCGCCGGAATAACGTGTAAACGTCTCTTGTTTTTTTTTTGCACGAAAACTATTTTCCAAGATGAAAACAAGGCTATGATTCCAAATTTATCTTTACAATTCTTCACAATTGAAGAACCGTACTATTTTTCCAAAACTTGTTAATAAATCTAGATTGAATTATAATTATCAGTGTTAAAACATGTCGGAAATTTTGTCAAATTAGCCGTAGAATTATTAATTATTAGCGATGTCGCAAGTTTAATTTGTCACATGAAAATTTTTCTAAGATAATAAGTTTAATAAATAAATATATTGATTTAAATTACACAAAATACAGTTATATATTTTTGAATGAGCAAAAAAAGTTTTGCTTCGGTGAGAAAATGATTTTATTTCACCGCGACAATAGGCAGAATTGGGGAATCTATATATTTCCTTCTAGGAAGGACCCAGTCCGAGTTTCTAGTTCAAGGTTGCCTCATCGATACGTGTACTTTCCCCGGATTGTATGAAGTAACGGCACAATAATCCCAAGTCCGACAGCGCAGCGTTACTTTCGAGACTCCGACGCGTTGCGCGCTATCCTGAATTCACTTTTCTATCGGATCCGGTGCCCGCGATAAGACGATTGATTTACAGAGCCTAATCGGTTCACTTACTTGCAAACTGAGCAGGGGCACAGGCGTGTCCATGACTTCGGCCAGACACACCGCCAGCGTTAGCACGACGATCAGCTCGCCGTACACATTCGAGAGGACCACCCATAATTGTGAGCTGTGGGGGAAAACAGCAGAATAGAAATTGAAATTGAATTAAGCAATTAAAACTCTGAGCGAATAAGATTGATTAATCGGAGAATAATTGAAATTTCTTTAATATCTAAAAATAATATAGGAATGTGTGTGTTATGATAGTGATTGTGTACGTGATCCATCTTCGAGATACTCGTGCCTCAGGCCAAGATATTATCCGAAGATGATTTAAATAAAAAAATACATTAATTCAATCTAAAATAAAAAAAAAATAAAAAAAAATAATAACGTGAAATTCTTTTGAATGCAGAACACGTTTCGTAAGAAAGAATTGCGATTCAAAAGATCGTACTAGGGTTCCGAGTGGTCGAGCAGGTCGTCGGGCGTTCGCGCTCTCGACAGGATCTTCGAGACCAAGGACCTCGCCGGTTGCGCCGGGGAGGATGCATGCGGGGATGCGTGGTCATCCTTGTCCTTAGTCCGGTCACCCCTGCTGGGGCCGCCACCCGGCGCGCCCTCCACGGTGCCACCCGTTGTACTTCCGGTCTCGTTCAGGCTGTCCTTGTCGTGCTGCTCATTGCCCGCTGTAAGACAGAAGCGGAGGGAGGGAGATGAGAAACGCGCGTTCGTAACATTCGGCACGTACTCAGCAGCCGGAAAAGTGGAACCTCGCTTCTTCTTGCCACTTTCTTTCTTTGGCCTGCCGGGTCGTCGGAGAAATGTGTGTAACTTTCGCTGAAAGAATTTATACGTTTATTTCTGCACGCGGCGCGATAGCGCCCGCGGCGCTAAAACAGTCACGGATTTATGGATCTCCCCGCTAGCGCTGACGTTCACGAAACGGCCGTCGAAGAAGTCGCCGCGCTCAGCACCTGCTATCCCATTTGCATCTCGATCTCCAGCGCGCGGAGAAAATCCTTTTCTATATAGATTTAAAAAAAAAATATCTATGTAACGATATTTATTCCGTTCAAACTATAATGGAGTTAGAAAGTCCGAAACATCTTTTCTATGCTTGTTGCATAAACTTTGAACGATCGAGTTAAGCAACGAGAAGAAAAGCGCTATAAAACTTCATGGCAGTTTTAATTATTGTACATTAAAATCAATTTAATTGGCAAAAAGAGAGCCTTATTATTATTTCAGCGTATTTCTCGATCTCTTTCCAATTTCGAATCTGTCGATTACTGTGGACCGTTGTATAGCGAATTACGGAACAAGATATACGATTCCAGTTAAATTTCCATTTGTTATAAATAACTTGGGTATCGTTCTTTTGTTATCTTTACGCAGAGTGGAACGCGATCGCCTTCTAATGATACACTCGTTAGAGTAAACTGATGCGTTTGTAGGGGAAAATATTTCACACGTCAAAACGACTGGTGTAAGCTTGCTTAATTGCGTCTTTTTGTTCTAGTAGCGCATCTTTGATAAATCTTCGCGATACATTCGCGACGCGACGTTGCGTAGCCGCGCGTCAGAAGCTGCACAATGATAGTCGTTCTGCTGCTACGGGCCGTCAGAACGTACGAAGCTCTTCTAGTAAAAGTTCGGCTCTCCAGCGCGTTAAATAGCTAGCAATTACCGCGAGTGTAATGCCGTGTAATTAATGACGGCGAAACCAGTAAAGTTCTCTCTCGTGCGCGTGCATCTCGGATTCGTCCAACTGCTTTATCGCACACGCAGTTCTAACGCAATTCTCGCCAGCGCATTTAATTCATTTCGCTTCGAAATATCGGATTTTACTTTCAACACAACAAATTTTCTATCCGATAATTTATGATTGTTTTTTTTTATAAAAAACATGAATATTGTTTTTCACAAGAATATAACATACGCAATTTAACTTTCTTCATTTGGATTTATTTATTAAAATTGAAATATAGGTCATTTGAACATTTCAATTTTAAGATAAGTTGGACGATGCAAAAGTTTTAATGATAAATCACTTTTCGCGCATTTATCTGATTGCTGAAAATAAAAAGTTACAGATTTTTTAAATTAATTTATAATAAATAAATATTAATTTACAAGTAAGAAATTGTTAGATTTTTACTTGCTTTATGATAGAATTATACTACTTATATCACTGTAATTATATCACTTGGTGTAATTATTTCAATTAATATTTAAACTCGTGTTTAGATCGCTATTCTACATTTCTTTATGAGGCAACTTTTGTTGGTATTTTTTTTTTTTTTTTAAAGCTGTTGATGAGTGCTGACCGAATTTTATTCATTGAAAATCATACGCATAATGATAATAATATCTTCAAATAGCTATTAAGTTTAGCTCTGTGCCATTGACCTAGATTTTTCTTCCATCTTCCATCGTTTCGAAGATAAATGTACTCGTGATAAGTACTTACTATCTTTAATGAACCTGAGAGAATTATAATATTCTCCGCAAGTGATCTTAAAAGGACCGCTTCCGCATGATGGAACCGTAATGAATTATTTTAAGAAAGCAACTGATATTGAGGCTAAAATCCTAAGCATACGGCGCTTTTATCGGCATTTGCATAGTGATCCGTAACGAACAGGACATAACAATTACGGAACGCATAAGTGGCGGTCGTACACGAAAACCGGCTAATAAGCTCTTCGTCAATTCGTTCCGTTACTTCGGCGAAAAGCCGATGCAGCCGCACGCAAGTCCGACCTAGCTTAAATCCGCATGCTAAAATCAACGTTATCTTGTCTCCTCGATTGTGCGTACGATATCAAAAGTCACGAGTCAAGAGTCAACGCGCGCGACAGCTGGCACAACGCGTCGCGCGATTAACGAACTTGAAGAGCATCTCGGAACGGAGACATGTGTTTGATTCGAGGATGACGCGATGATGGAGCACCGCGGCGGAAGCCACCACAAAGGACGCGAAGGGAGATGGAAGAGGTGAGAGGTCCTTAGGCAGAAGCACTTGCGAGCACCTTCGACTCAGGTGTCGCGTATTCAACAAGATCTCGCAGAAGATTCCTCGCAACAGCTCTGTTTGCTTGACAACGATAATGCTTATGCAAAAGCGTCAACTTCAACAACTTGATTATAGAAAGAAATTTATTTATAAAACATTATCATTCCGCAGCAAATTACGCAATATAATGCGAGTTAAATATTCTCGTCAATTGCATTATAATTTGATCCGAACATCCACTTACGTATTTTGCAAGAGGAACAACTTTTCGAGAAAAGTAATGCGAAAATTATCTGTAAGTGGCATCGCAAATCGATTCGTCGTAAATTTTAACATAACTTCAGCCGTGCGAAATTATGCGTGTGGATTCTAATGGGAAGAATTGCAATAGCAGGGGAGCTGTAAGTATTGGTATAGAAAAGGAATCGGGGACTGGTATCATCATGTAGCGCAAATTACTATTTGCTGTACACCTGCGGCAGATTACGAGTCAATTGCAGAAACTCTTCTCTCTCGCCGATCTATCAATAGGGACGAGTCCCGTAAAGCTTACAATTTTCATGTCTTCTAAGATTTATTGAATTAGCAGGGCCATATGGTATTCGAGAAAAGATTTCGATTATTCGCTCCGACAATGCTAAAGAAGATAACGCACCTTAGAGATGTAAAAATTGATATTTTTTTATTCGGATGGCCGGAGAATTAGGACGCAAGGTATAAAATGCATTGTCCGTAAAATTATGAACTCGCGACGAAGGTATAATGGGTATCGCTTTGCAAGCAGATTTCAGATTGGCTGAAGCCTAAACTTGAACGATCAAAAGGAACAGTTAGCTGCGCGATCTGCGGATGATGATATGTATATTACGGTACATTCGTGGCAAATCTAGATATTAGTATTTAAAATGTAACTTGAGAAATATTTTTTATAAAAAGTATTTTAATTATTTTTTTATCTTTGTCGTGAAAGTAATTGAGAAGAAACGACTTTTTGTTTAATCTAACTTTGAAAAAAATATTATTTTTACTTGTAAATTTTAAAAATCAGTTGTGGCAAAATACTTTTTTGTTTTTACCTTAATTTAGATAAATATTCATCTCTCTTAGAAAAATGACCAGACAATTGTTTAAATTACAATAATAATTATTATTATTGCAATTTGATTTGATAATTAGAATTACAATTAAATGACAATAATAATTAGATCAGTTGATTGCAATTGTAATTGTCAAATTAATACAAAACAGATATAAATGTTATACTACGAAGATCTAAATTTAAATAGTTGTGCTTGAGAGAAAAATTTTATTTCAACAACGCCCGGATCGTTATTCAAGATGCCAGTTAAGAGACGCCGTTGTAAGAGTGATTTACCTGACGTCCGTGCGTTTGTCACCGGGAAACTATCGTCGTGACGGTTCGTCAACAGCGTCGCCGTCCATCACTCGGATTACGCGAAGACGCTACGACCGGTTGACGATGGACAACGCGAAGTGCACGTAACGATAACGCGGCACCAAGTGACGCGCGCGTAACTTTGCTGTACTCTCAAAGGAGCATCGACTCTTTCGGGGATATCGAACGGTGGCGGCGGCGGCGGCGGCGGCGGCGGCGGCGGTGATGGCCGAGATGATGACGGTGATGATGCGATTTTCTCGTAGCCTCGTTTCCCCAGCATCCGTCAATATATATACATACAAGTGCTACGTACAAGTGCTACGTACAAGCACATTGCTCTTATTTTACTACGAGAAGCGAGCGCCTTGGGGGGTATTGCTTATGCATCGCCCTCGAAATCGAATAAACCGTCGATGAAGATTCCGCTATTCTCGTGACTCACTTCTGACACTCGCGATTCGACGCGTTTTGATGGACACAATTTGACACGGTGTTTTGAACGAAAAATAGCGGGCGAAGTGAAAAAAATAACGGGCGCAAGAGTAAAAACTTGACGGCAGTGCTATGCTAATTTTGTTGTTGAATACATTAGAATACGCATTTCTAATCTTGATGAATGTATTAGTTAATCCTTTCTAAAATCAAATCTGCGTTCACGAACTGTCTGACTGGCTACTTTTTGAGTCATTGTATTATTTAATAGCAACAGAACAGTTGGAATTAAGAGAAAATTTTAAAAGGAATTTATTTTATAGAGTGCAATTAAAAAAGTGATGTTTAAAGTTATAGTTTCTACAAAATTAACTGTTCCTAGCTAATGAGAAAAATGCGATTTCTTCCGGTTGAAATATTGCAATGCATAATTGACGTAACTCGAGAGATTCTTATGCATACAATTATATGTCATTAGTTATGCATGAAATGCCGCAACCGATCGTATCTACATTATTGCAGATTAATGCCGGAAATCCAATAAATCCACTTGAAATTCATACTTTTCCGCGTAAAAGCATTAATTCCGACACGTCGGTAAATCTACATCGTGCAAAGTGCAGGAGGGTTAATCGCTAATCTGACGCGTAGATTGTACGAGAAGGTGAAGGGTTAAATGTACAAAATACGACAGCGTACGCGGGGCGCATTATCCGCATCGCGATTATCTAGCTGGGTGTTGGAAGACGCTCGGCCCCGATGCGCAGCGGTTCGAACAAAATTGCCGAGATTAATTTGTCGCGAAACTTGCATAATGATCCGTATAATCGACAGCCGCC